TACGTTATTCACGTAGCTGAAGTTGCGTACCTTAGTTCGAATTAGGGGGGTAGTGTAGACCAAGCCTCACTGTCACTATGTGGGAGAAATGCATGAAATACCAGCAAATCTGCTGAGACATGAAACTGGTTGGATTTCACAGATCTGGTACAAAGCAGGTGATACTGATTGCCAATTTTCATTTAGTAAATCAGATCATAGAAGACATAGAGGGTGACATCTGGGGACTGGTCTATGTAACTGCAATCCCAAACCATGTGTAATTCAGGATTAGATAAACTAGAACAGTTTCAGTAAGATTTCCTTTGCCCTATGCCCCAAGGAATGAACAAGCTACCCATTTTAATTTTTTCTGTTCTGCTTTAATCTGTTAACATGCATAAAAAGTTATGTTTTTCTTAAAATCGACTCAGTAAAGAGCATTTAAATAATGTGAATGACAATAACTTATTGTTGAGCCCAGCCCTGGTCTGATATAATCATGTTGTATGCTGATACACAATGCTACACTGGCATTGGCAAGGTATGTGATACAGTGTTAATTTTTGTTTTTAACAGTGGGAAAACTAGAATGTTTGAGGTCATTTCAGAAACCTTAGAGAATGACTTCCCTTCCTGGTTTGGGAAAGTATTTAGTTATGCTTCTAACCCTGGACTGATCTTGCCCTTCATATTGCTTATGGTGTAAGTACAGTATCTTAAATCAGATCAAAGCTTTCCTATATGAATCTCTACCCAATTCCTTTCATGTCAAGCCTCCACAACCGTAGGTGTCCACTGGAAACACAGTCAAGTACAACACTGATTGCCTTGTGTTGAGGGACTTGAAGAATTCACAAGTCTTTTGTTTGATCATAATTTATGTGTAGTTGCACAAAGGGCAGGCTCCCCAATCTCTCTTTTTTGTTCAATGGCTTCATTTTTGTCTTGTTTTGTTCCCATAGTGCCAAAAATCATTAAGAAGCAAAAAAAAAACCCAAATAAAAACAAAAACAACCCCCCCCCAAAAAAACTATATGAGGTCCAAAGTGGAGCGAGTTTAATCAGTCTATTGGGCAGAACTGCACATCATAAAACCTAGCATGTTTCGTAGTGAACTCTCAGAAGTGCTATTCCCCTGATACAAAGCTTTCTTTAAGCCTGTTCCTGGGCATCTCGGGTTTTGTGTAATAATAAAGAGGCCTGAAAAGCAGCAGAACTACCATCATTTTGCTAAACTAGGTGTGAGGTAAGAGTTGGGGGCATGTAGCAGAGAACCCACACAGAGGGCTTCCAAATTAGATTCTTTGGCTAAAACCCCAATGGAAGTGGTGTGCAGTAAGGCATGATTGCTACCCCCTTGTACTAGAAGTTCCCTGTCCAAAGTCCACTTTCTGAGACTTTGGACTAGGAATAGACGTTTGTCCATAAATCAGTCCTAAATAAGAATAATAATCCTGATACCTTTCATCCTAAAGGACTTTACAAAGGATCACTTTATAGGATCACTTAGCACACACAAAAGTGCAGCTACCTCTTGGGTAGGGTGACCAGATAGCACGTGTGAAAAATCGGGACGGGGTGGGGGGCAATTGGCGACTATATAAGAAAAAGCCCCAAATATCAGGACTGTCCCTAAAAAAATTGGGACATCTGGTCACTTACGCTTGGGTAAAATTCAGACATGATTTAACAACACAGTTATATTGCCAAATATTTTAGAAAAGGAAGTGAAAAACAGTAAGTGTAACAGAAACTGCAGAAGGAACTTACACAGGCAGAATGCAATTTTGAGATGAAATTTGGCAAAAACTTGCTGACAATCATACTATATACAGAAAGACTCTCATTGAAGAATATGGTTAGCTCCCATTGATTTCAAGGAGAGCTATCTATATTGTGCATTAGGGGACTGTGACCCAAAACAAAGGCAAAGACAATACAAGGCAAACTAGAGTCAACAAAACAGGGAGAAGATTAATCACTTATTTCAAACAGGAGCATGACATACTGTTAATATCATTATAAGACATCACATAGCTGGATCTCCAGTTAGAGTTTCATTAGGTGAGAGTAGGGGGTGAAAATGTGCTAATTTCTTACAGTTATTTAACAAAGAAAATTATGCCATGTAGTCGTGATTTTGTGTGCTAGAAGATTATGATTTAGAACAAAAATCAACTAGTTTTCCGTGTTTTTGCTTGTTGTCTTTCCTGTCACTACAGCACTTAAATTTCCTATTGTTGTGCAAGTTTAAAGGATTTTATAAACATTTGGTCATTTAAAAATACATTATACATCTTTTACAAGTCAGTTTTGCAGAACACCCATGTTATGGAAGAACAGCTGGATGGAACTGCCTCCTTAGCACCGTAACTGAAAGTAAGGTTCTTAAATAGGGAAAGTGAATTTTTCAGTTAGGTTGTTCTGGGATCTCAGGTAGAAATGTACTTTCTTTCTCCTGTGAGGGAGCACATAACTGAACTGTCAAAATGTTAGTGTTAATAAGACTGGGTGGTGGAGTAAAAGCCACTCTTCATATTAACACATTATAGAGGATAGGGACAACCTATTTATTGTAATGTGGATTTATTAAGAATGATGTTAGATTTTACAATTCTTACCTAACATAATGTATTCTTTTTCCTTTAAAATTTAGATTGAGTATCTATTATCTCAATGCTACATCCAAAACCTACAAGGAAGCTAACTTGGATCTCAAAAAGAAGCTACAAAGTGTAAGGATGCCATAAAGAGGGTAGAACTGTTACTTTTTATTGTTGTGAATCAGTAGAGAAATGATTTAAGTAATTAAGGTATGTCTCCCTCTCTCCCCTTTGACCAGCAAGCTGAGGAAAACAAAAAGAGAAACAAACAAAAAGCACAACAGTCACGGGAGATGGAAGAAAACTCCCTTGAGACTAAACCCAAGCAGCAAGGAAGCAAACAAGACTCCGCAGCAGATCAAGGTGCGACTGCTCTGAAGATGTCTGTATATTTGCTACCATCCCTCTACACTGTCTCAACTTCTCTACTTACTGTACAGTGACACCCTGAGAGGGACAGTCATGAAAATTAAATAGTGCAAATTAACCACAATACAGAAGCTTGCAGCCACCAGGTTAATCTTTATGGCATTGGTCTTTCTCCTTCCCTTATAAGAAATATTACAAGTTCTTTCAATAACAATCCAGAATCCTACAGTAGTAACAAACTGCAAGCTGTATTACTTTGGACTGTTAGGCCCCAATCCAGCAAAGCACTTAAGCAGGTTCCTAATGTTAGTGGGACTATTCACATGCTTAAAAACTGAGCATGTGCATAAGTGTTTTGGTAGACTGAAGTTTTATTGCAGAATACTACAGTATTTTTTATATTGGAATATTGAGGGCCAGGTTGTGGTTTTTAAGTCCAGGCTCCTGCAGGGGGGTGGAGGGATGGAGGGGGGCGATGGGGGTGCAGCGAGTCCATGATATAGTAGGAATCCTCAGGAAGAATTCTGGCTCAGTCAGCCAAACTTCTTCCTAGGCATGGTCCTAAGCTGCATATGTGGCAGCTCTACCTGCCTTAAAGAAGATGTGGTGTGCTCTCCCCTCTACACTCAGGCACTACTGTCCTCATTGTCCGTGCCACAAAACAAGCACACAGTTTGGCATGACTGGCAGTAGGAGAAGTCAGGGCTGGAATATTAGGGAGGATGTAGGTCAGGAATGAGGCACATCAGCAGAGCTATGTGGGGAATTCCAAGTGCACCCTGCTGAAATTGGCCAGTTTTATAATGAAATTGATGAGTTTTGCCATCTCTCTCACACCACCCTCACTCCCCCAGTAACCTAGAAACTGCCTCCACTTACTTGGTGCTGCCTTATGTAAGGGGGAGGGCTTCTACGTTCCTTACTCAAGGTCCTGGAGGATGGAAAGGGCTGGCTGGAAAACTTCAGGGGGAGCTGCTGAATCATTCCCCATAACCTCACTCTAAGAGATGGGGTTGGCAGGGTAAGTGCTGAGCTTTCTCTTGCTCCTACTGCTCTAACAGGCAATCTCTGTTCTATGGCTCAGTTTGGTTTTCTAAATACATTTTAGGTACCCAGAAAGGACAAGGTGACAAAGAGTCTAAGAAAAAGACCAGCCACCAACACGAAGCAAGCCCCTCTCAGCAGCACAGCCCTGGCCCAAATGTTCATTATTCCTCGCATGGCAGAGGAGGAAGCCTTACTCCACCCCCACACATAGCTGTGACTCGACCACCAGTGCCAAGAGGATATGGCATGCCCGGCTACCCCCCCAGAAATCCACGCTTTGAAGGTTTTCCTGGAGGACACCCAAGAATGCCAAGGGGCACTCCTAACTATAGATAATAAGGCTCTTCTACACTTTCCTCTAGTAAAAGTGAACTACAGGATTATATGGTACAATCCTGGCAAAAAAAATGGCCCTGATTCAACCAATAAGTGAGGTGTCCCATTGATTTCAATGCGACTCCTCCTGTGCATGAAGTTGCTCAGTGTATTTTCAGGATTGGAGGCTTCAGTACCAATATTTAACAGAAACCACTGCATTAGTCTTCTTGTTAATCTGAATGTCTTGGAAAGATGTATGTTGTCATGAGTGTCAAAGTGTTTCTAAGTATATAAATATTTATGATGAGAATGAAAATGTTAATTTATTCTTGCATAAGTTTCTCAGTGTGTTTCTGTAGCATCTCATTGTTACTTCATTTATTTTTAAAACCACAGGTAATTGTCAATATAATTGCTTGGAAATTATATCTGAGTCTTTTACTTGAACAGCGCACACAGCTTGTGTTGGCCATCTGCAGAGGAGTGAGACTCGCCTGATTAGTTTAGACTGGAAATATATGACTACCTTTCAGTAGCCAAAGCATGACCTTTAAATACCTAGAGATATTGTGCAGCCTAGCGTTTGAAGTATGTGCTTCCTAGTTCAGAGGCATTATGCAGCTGAGCTTTTAATTTTATTAATATCCCTATTTTTCCTGTCAGTACAGTAATAATTCTTACCATATGCAATATCATACAGCCACCTCCCCAAGCACCTGCTCATGGCCAGAGGTCACTCTGAAGCACCTTGCCTGTTTCCATCTCTTCAGGACCCTTTAAAAACTCACAGTTCAAAGGTAGTTCAAAACAACTCCACAAGGAGTCCCAATTATTTAGTCCTCTGATATATACTGGCTCTCTAGGCCCCAAGCAGTTCAGCATCTCTCCCCTGATTAACCCAAAAATAACACAAAACACAAACTCAAGGAGTCTTCATCCCAGCTGGCCTTTACAGGATCTCCTTTGCTTGGACAGAGTCCCTCACAGGCCTTCTACCCTGAAGGCCTTTCTCCCACTTACTCCTGTTTCTACAGCTTTTTTTCCACTGCTAAATCAGGGACCTACAAACATCTGCTGGCTCTCTGAAGTTACAATTTCCCCAGCCTCTGCTCTCTTAGAGAAACTTCTTGCTCTTTTTTTAAATCCTGGGAATCACCTTATTCAGCCCAGTTGCAGCTAACCCTGTAAGCAGGGATGGTTTAGCCATAAACTCTCCAGCCCATGGGGCAAGCTGCCCTGTTACATCACATTTTAAGAAAGCATTTCAGATGCAAAAAGAAACCATATTTGAACAAAACAGTTCAGCCCTGTCCTTTGGTATCCGCCTCCAAAATGCTTTCCAAGGTTGGGGTGCTCTACATGGGGGCCTTATGGACAGATAATGGGCACTTGCTATTACCGCTTAATTATTATTATTTGTATTGTGGTAGTATCTGGGAGCCCCAGACCCCATTTTGATAGGTGCTATCCAAACACAGAACAAAAAGGTGGTCTCTGCCCAAGTATTTCCATACACCTGTTTGAGAGTAGTTACACAGCTTTACTACATTGGCCAGAATTTGACCCACAATATCAATAAAAAAATGTAGAAAAGGTTAGTCAATGCAGCTGTTTTGTAGTGTAGAAGGAATGTTAACTCTGTTTCATAAGGCAAAGCCTGGGGGAAATCTGTGATATCATGAAACAATTTAGGCTCCCCTTAATTATGGTGTAACTAAATCAGGAAGTCTGATCATAATGGTACCTTCTGGCCTTGAAATCTATGAGCTGTGCCCCCTTGTCCCAGGGCTGAATTTGTTCTGGAATATTGCAACAAAGGGCCAGATCCTCAGCTGGTGTAATTCATCATAACTCCATTGACTTCAACAGCCATCGGATGGCCTCATACCATAGGTGAATAGTGACCTTGGAGGTGAAAGTCTATATCATAATTATCAACCCTTCTAGCCAGCCGAACCCTTTGTCTTTCTACTTTGTTTCCCTCATGCTCTTACCTGCCTACAAACTGGCTCCTTTCCCCCCCTCATGAAGACAGAGGTCTTGGAATGGACACTGTATTTGTGCATTTGTATTGCTGTAATCATGCAGTTCTGGATTAGCATTCTGTGAATAATTTAAGGAAACAATATAATGAAGTTCAATTATGGCTGACACTCAGATTTCCAAATTCATGTGAGTAAATCTCCTTTGATGGGTTTTTCTATGGGAGTGATTATTATTGTGGAAGAAAGGGTGATCCGGGAGCTAACGCAGAAGACCCAGTTGCAATTCCTCTTTCCCCACAGACATTCTGCATGACCTTGGACAAGTCCTTTATTTTCTGTTCTTCAGTTTCCCCATAAACTAGTAATAACAATCTGACAGGCTTCTTGACTTTATTGTCCTCGTGTGGAACCCTGCAATTCTCCCCCTCTCAGACTAGGTCTCAATCTAGATCCTAGTAGTATTAGTGGGCTAATATTATTTCCTGGGCTGTAAGCCTGATCTCTGCTATCTGGACTGAAGGCTGTAAAAAGATCTCTGAGCAAACACATTTTAACATTTCTATTAATAGTTTTTTTTCTCCAGCTATTTCTGTGGACCCCTCACCTGTGTTTATTGGTGCATTCCTGAGTCTAGTTAATGTCCACGGAGTAGAAAAAAAAAATCATGCATTTGCCAGCAATATCTGTAACTGTATTAAGAAACATACACTTTACAACGCTGCTACAGTGCTTCAGTGAAGACTCTGCTATGCCGATGGGAGAGCTTCTCTCATCAGCGTAGTTAATCCACCTCTGTGAGAGGTGGTAGCTATGTCTGCGGGAGAAGTCTTACCATTAACATAGCGCTGTCTACACTGGGAGTTAGGTCAGTATAACTGCGTCACTCAGGGGTGTGGATTTTTCACAGGTCTGGGCGAGGTAGTTATACCAATGTAAGTTTATAGTGTAGACCTGGCCATAGGGTCAGCTTGTGACCTGGCTTGCACAGTGAGGGATGCCCCAATACCCATAATCCAGGTAGCAGGAGCAAGCAGTAACATGTAGGGGATGAGAGCAGCCTCTATGAGAGGGTACATTCCCCACCCCATGTGAGTGGCAGGAGTGGGTAGGGTGGGATGAGGTGTAGGCAGACCTCTCCCCCCCCCCAAAGTACACTGGCACTGAAGAACAGGGGTACTTCCCCCGAATGCAGCAGGGGGAAATTGCAGAGCAGAGGGTAACTCTCAGAGTCATTGCTTCTTGGGCTGCTTCTGAGGTCGCCTCTTGCTCAGGGCCGATGTCTAAGCCATGACTGAGCCCTCAGGTTTGTAAGGGAAGAACACTGATTCAATGTCATGCTTCCACAGCAATAGCTTATGAGAAACATGAATATTAGGATTCATTGCTATACTATATACTAAATATCGGATGTTCCCTAAATATTCTGTTGTGTAAAACTCAGTACCATTCTGCAGTGTAAGGCCCAGCCTGTGGGGTTTAAGCTACTTGCTGCGTTTTGGGGTCTGTGAAGGGGCTGCACCATGGAGGGGGGCGGGGGCACCAGAAGGAATTCTGGTTCCTTCATAACTTCACTCGGAGTTGCCCATGTTGGAGCAGCAGCTCCACCTTCCTTTGAAAAGATGCAGCTTGTGCTCTCAATTGAGCCAACCCTGCTCTGCAGACCAGTGCAGAAAGATAGAGTCACCCTCCCTCTCCCTGATCCCTTTTGGGAGGTTAGTGTCCCTGGTAATGCAAGCCATGAGCCATTCCTCCATGCCCCAGTGAATCTGTGCTCAGCCCTGAATGCACAACTGCACACCAGTACAAAGCCAGGCATGATATAGTCCTGAATAGGCAAAGATTACCCCAAGAACCTGTCTAAGCCTGATGTTAATCATAGCCAGCAGAACTGAGTCAGTTCTTTTGCAGTGAGTTTACATAAAGGGTTATTATATTCCCTGTTGCTAGCACTACACCCTCTATAGTAAGCCCACAGATGCAATTCAGCTCAAAATGGGCTAGGGGAGGGGAGCTGACTGTAGCTGATGGGATTATTACAACCTATTTCCTCATCTAGCAGTTGCAGAGCAGCTCTGCCAACACTCCACAGCTTGGAAGAAAGACTTTGTCCTCCTGGATCCCCATAGAACTCTGTTGTACCTGTGCCGAAGCTTGTTTACATGGGCTTTGTACAGGAGAGAGGATTTGGGCCAGTTTAAATAACTCTCTAAATAAACTTATCCAGAGGGGTTGTTGGTAACTAATTAGGGGTAGAGTGGTTGAAATAATTAACAGTAGTGTGTGAAAAACCCATGTCAATGTCCAGGGAGAGCTCTGTTCCTTTCCTTAATCAATGTGTAAAGAGTGGAAGGCACAAGTTGTAGATCCTATTGGAGGAGGGTGAGTGGAGAGCTCTCCTCAGAGTTGCGGCTCCATCATCCTTGCAGAATGATGTTTTACTGAGACGTGTTTGCTTGCACTTACATTATGAGAGAGGATTTTTAGGTGAATGTCAACAACAGAGAAATATTTGGCATTTAACAGCAAGAATTCAGTGTAGCAATAAAGGTCAGCCAGCCATTAGTCTGGAGAACAGCTGTATATAGTGACCCATACATAAACAGTCTGCACCCATCTTGCCCTAAAAATCTGAAAAACAAAGCTCGTACACTGCAGCAGAATTTCCTTCCATGTAGTTGAAATGGAGATCAATGGAGACCTGCAGCATCTCAGAATAGGACAGAGATAGAACATGGTGGATTAATATCTGCTCTAAGTATTGCACACACAAATGTGCCATATTAGAGGTTTTCTTTTGCCCCTGGCTTTAGTTTTCTTTTTTTTTAAATGTATTCTTCACTGGGATCAGGTAAGACAGTTAACTTCATAGGCATTTGTGATTTAAGAAGTGCCTTTATTTTAATATTTCAGTAGTGCAATAAAGGTGGATTTTCAAAAGTGATCAGTATTGGCCTAACTGCTCCTACAGAATTCAGTGGTTGATTTTTCAACCTAAATCCATTTGTATCTCCCATGGGGTGATATTCATTTTAATAAGTTACAGAGCCTTGTGATAAATTACATTTATTATGCACCTTTGATTGCCTCATCTATACTCTGCCCATTAATCCATCTCTGCTGGGATTACTTATACTATTTCAAAAGTCTGTGCAGCTTCAAACAACCTCTTAAAAAAAAAAGCCAGAAAACTGTTTCTTTCCTTCTCCAAAGTATAGAATTTCTTCCCACAATTATACTGATCAGAGTTGCAGGAAAGACAATATTCAGTGATGGTTTTAACTGAAATATCTCAAAACCTATCAGAACATAAAACAAAATATTTATTCTACAGCTGATTCAATCTTATAAAAATGATTTTTCAAATATTTTCCCAAATAAAAATGACAAGTTCATGGGATCATAGTGCTCATGATTCACAAGTATCCAAATGTATCTGCTGT